CCTACAACTAATAGGTGAAGTAAAGTCTTTGACTTTGTTTGGTTTCTGGCTCAACATAATGGCTTCATACATGTTTATGTGGCACCCTGTGGTTCACAGGTGTTAGTAAGCTAAAAGGTAAGGGTGCAATTCTTTTTGGCCTAGAAGACACACTCACATAATGCTTAATTTTACATGGGGAGAAATGCCAGATACAGGTGACAGAGGGATGGAGGCAGCAAATCACATTTTCATGTATGTACCCTATGCAACAGTCCTGCATGATCTGCACATGTACCCCAGAACCTAAAGTACAATAAAAAAAATATATATATAAAACAACAACAACAACAACAACAAAGCACAGCCATAAAATGTTGGTATGGCTGCCCAGAGCAGTCTCTCCCTTTCTTTCATTGCAAGGTATAGTGCCTGTTTACTCTTTACAGATGCAAAGATGAACTATTTTACTCAGTTTATCCTGGATAAGACTTATATGAATAGTGCATCTTTTTAAAAGGAAGAAGTGGATATCTTCCTCTCCCTTAATCATCATGCTGTCACCCTTGTAGAACTTCAACTAGATTTGTTTCAGAGGAGATGAATACGTAGAATTTCAGATGGCTTGGCCACCTAGACCAGGTACATATTCTGTGCACTAGTCTCTTCTGCAATGTTAGCTAGGTTATAATCCAGTTTGTGCAGGGCGTGGAAAGTTCATTGTCTCCTGAAGCCAATTAATTTTGCCTTCAGACCACTCTGTTCAAAAGTACTTTCTTATATTAGGCCATCTGACTTCCTGTGGAGGCAATATAATATAGTGAAATGGCCAGGGAAATCAGACAGGTCTGATTCATAACTGAGGGCTAAGTGGGAGACTTTGGGCAAGGAATTTAACTTGCCTCAGTTTTCTCATATGTAAAACAGAGATAATGATGGCCATCCCATGAGTTCATTGAGAAAGTTAAGTGACGTAGCATTTGTAAAACATCAAAGATGGTTTTAGTAAGTCCTTGTAGTAAGTCCTCAGCATGGCTACCATCTGGAAGTTTTGCCTTTGTGCTGTTTCTTTAACCTGAATCATGCTTAAGAGGTCTTTATTTCTTTCCACTTCAACTGCTATATCTTCCCTGTCTACCTTTAATGGTTCTTCAGTGACATAATTTGGTGAGTTTCTTCAACAAATAAATGCCATAAAGTTAGGTTTTCTTGCAGAGTGCTACCTAGGAGAAATACAATACTTAAGAGGTAATCTTACCAATACAAAATGAAGCAGGACCATCACCACAGATGCATCTTAAGGTCAGAACAATTTGTTTGCTTCTTTTCTTTTTGGGGAAGCCATGTCATACTTGTGGTCAAAATAGCATGAGAATAGTATCCATGATATCGAACATTTTATTTTTGTAATTTTGATTTAGCTCTCATATATTTATTTTATAATGAACGATCTCACTGTATACATAGTAAGAGTCATTAGGATGAGTTGTACTTTTTGTTAAGGTACTATCAAATTCTTTTATGTTTTTTTGGCTTGATTTTTTTTTTTACAAAGTAATTATATATTTTCTTCTTTAAATGGTTATGTCTAGTGTATATTTTCTAAAGATGTGCTTTTGGCTTTCAGCTATGCTCATCTTCTGTTTGCCTAAACAAATGTGATTTGGCAATGAAAAATTTGACAAAAACAAAGTAAATGCACACTTAAAGATACATTGTTGAAGCAGCTTAATTTGAGCTCGAAGATTTTGAAATCCTTTCAATTATATTCTCATGTCTCTTGATGGAATGCAGATAGTTGGACTGAACATAAGATTATCCATATAGAAATTCCCACTATGAATTAAAACTATTAAGCATTTGACATATAATTAATTTGTTTATGTGTGTTTATTTTATCCATACATGTGATTATTGGCATTGATTTTATAGAGAAAGAGTTAGATGTATAAAAAGCACTGTATCTTTTTTTTACCTCAATAAGTATGCAATTTTAGACATTGTATTTTGGAAATTAAATAATCTAGATTACTTTGATTAAATATTTATTTACATTGTTATCACAGTCGTTGAATTAGTTTTACCAAGTTTTTTTTCTTCAACAGGACTACCAAAAAAGCTCTAAAAAATGTCTGTGCCTTATAGTTCTGAACTTAACCTACAAATTGCCAATAAGAGACTTGTAAAACTCATATATGGGGTCTGCATAGTGTTAATGTTTGAGATTTATTTCCCCCAAAAGGTTCATAAACAGTATGGACAAATATATTGCACTCTGCAATTTTGATATGATCATAATGTAGGATGGGCAGTTTGACAGGTTTAAATAAACATTTAAATTAAATTTGTTAGGCATTCTGCAGCAAGAGTCCTGTTACTGACTAGCATCAATTTATTTTTACTGAACAGTTTCCAAAGAATAATGACATATGTCTCTTCCAAAGAACTGAGTAAGAAAGCTATTGCAAAATAACCCTGAATTATTGTCTTTTCTGCCATTAGTTGGTAGACTTGTCCGTTTACGGAGCCACATCTATTTTCAATCATTAAAATATACGTCATATCCCTAAAGCATGCAATCTCCAAATGACTTTCTTGAGCTCACATAATTTGGGACTCTGTTAATTCTGCAAAGCAATTTGCTGCTTGTTGACATCAGTTTTTACTGTCAAGGATTATTTATTTTACCTAGTCTTTTGCTTTTGGTTCATGCTTCTTACTTCAGGTTAAAAATAATGTATACCCATTTTGTAATTTATTTTATTGGTTGAGAAATATCATCAGCTATGCTCAGATTCTATAAAGATAGATATGACCAGGTCATTTTCTCACCTTTCAGTCAGTAAGATAATCACAGATAGAGCCATTTGTGAAATAATAAATGCTGTAACAGGACCATGTACAGAGTTCAGTGGAAACACAGTTGAGGGTAAAATAAGTTTCATGATTCATTATGTAACATAGTTTTCAATCAGTGTTGCAAAGCACAAAAATAATTGTTGAAGAAGTGTGTGGGAAGAGAAATATGTGAAAACAGTTAAGCTGCTCAGTAAAAGTTTTAATAACAAATAGTCTTGAGTTACGCTTTTTCATTAGATTATGAGGACATATCTTTTTAGTTTGAATGTGATTATTCCTGCATAATCAATATTTGTTAGTGCTATATATCTCTCATTTTAAATTCAGAGATGCCTGTTTTCTTTTAATAGGGGACCAAATCACAAAATATTCATGAGTACATATAATCTTGGGTGACACCTTTTAAAAATATATAGCTTTATGTGATTTGAAACAATTAATTGATTTGTTTATCTATGTATTGAGCATCTATCATGTGCTAGGTATTTTACTAGAGATGGATTTTGCTGTCATGGGGCTTGTAGTCTAATTACAAAATCTCTTGAGCATAAAAGGTTGTTGTGATATTTTTTGAAATGTTTACTCAGAAATATGTATGTAGATATATAGCAACAAGCAACATTTTGTATAGAGGTATCACCTGAGTAAAAACAGTATGTATAAAGTTTTTTTAAAAAATTCAGAATTGGTCCTTTAGGTTGATATTCCATAAAGGTTTTTGTACCTTTGGAATTCAAATGTGAACAAATGAGAATATCTAGATTGATAGCTACAGCAATAGTGTCCATCTCACTTTATGGTTTCAAAAGTAAAGCTAAGGATACTCAATAAAATTCAAAACATCGAAAGTATGTCTCCATGCTAGGCCATGACTAATATGAGTATGGAATTGTCAGTTTGATGTTTTCTTGGTTCATGATTATTTATGCAGCTGTTACCTAACTGACATTCATTTGGAGTTGAGTGTTGGAACAAGCAATACATTAGATTAAGTGTACCCAAATGTGTGCTGTAGAGTTGTTTCATAATGTGTATATCTGATGTTTTTTATCCTCCATATGATACTTCTTAAAGAGAGATTATGCCAGTAGCAATTAGAGAATTGTTTTCCAGCCTTTTTTCTTTTTAATAGCCCGCAGTTCAGCATAGGCGAAAGTTGAACTGATGAGAGGAGGGCAGGAAATCTTATCATTTACTGCCTCCAACTCTTCCCCAACTATCCTTCTAAACTCCCCACGTGCAGGGTAGCTCAAATGTGGTATCATTACTATGGGTAGGAGCAGGGGATGCTCAGGCTTCTGTTGCAAGCCAGTGTAAGAAAACAGGAATTGGAAGGAAAGGCTCTGGTTCTCTCTCAAAGTAAGTTAAAGAGGGTTAGGATAAGAAAACTGCTGGAGAGCTATAAAACTGATCAGTATGAGCAGAGACCTTTGTGGCCTCCTGTAAATGTTTTCCCTTACAATGCATGTTCTGTAGAGAACAAAAATAGCTGTGTTCCATTTTGGTTCTATGATTCTCATGTGTTCGGTCTTTAGTAAAAAAACTCTGATTAAGATATGTTTGATAATTGGGCATTTCAAATTGCATATTATGCATGAGCCTACCTTAAACATGTAGTTTCTTCTTTTTCCTGTCTTAAGGAGAAAAGAAATATCTTTCACTGTACTTTTCAATTTTATTCAACCCAATAGGCAGGTAAGAAATTGAAACCCATCTGACCACTGAATTGCTTGTGAATTAAAGGTAAAACAAGATTAGAATATAACTGGCAAACTATATTGGTACCAACAGATTGCTGCTTTTCTTTTTCTTTATTTTTTACTGTACAAAAAAGAATCATATTGCATTTATATTGAAGAATATAAAATATTTTAGAAAGAATATCCTCTATCAATTAGAATTCAATAATTGTTTATATATCTTACCCTGGATTTTTCTGCCTCACTTTAGTCTTAATTTTCATTAAAAATATAGACTATAGAGTGTAGATAGGTGTAAGACATAAAATTGCACATTTATCTCATATTAGACTGTAATTTTGAAAATAGTGATAGTAGTAATTTGATGCATCTGGAATTTATGTTTCTCATATCGTTGTAGATTTTAACATTGTGTTTTTTTCTTTTTTTCTTCCCTCCCTACTGTCCCTCTCCTCTCAACAGTCCTGGTACCTGGGCTAGCTTGGTTCCTTTCCAAGTGTCAAATAGGACACCCATCTTACCGGCAAATGTCCAAAATTATGGTTTGAACATAATTGGAGAACCTTTCCTTCAAGCAGAAACAAGCAACTGAGGGAAAAAGAAACACAACAATAGTTTAAGAAATTTTTTTTTTAAAAAAAGGAAAAGAGGAAGACTGGACAAAACAAAACAAAGGGAGAAAGGAAAGAAACTGAAGAAAGAAGATAATAGACCAGCAATTGCAGCACTTACAATCACTAATTCCCTTAAGGTTGAAACTGTAATGACATGAAAAGGGTCGATGATATTTCACTGATGGTAGATGGAAGCCCCTGCAACGTAGCCTTTGTTACATGAAGTCCGCTGGGAAATAGATGTTCTGTCTCTATGACAATATATTTTAACTGACTTTCTAGATGCCTTAATATTTGCATGATAAGCTAGTTTTATTGGTTTAGTATTCTTGTTGTTTACGCATGGAATCACTATTCCTGGTTATCTCACCAACGAAGGCTAGGAGGCGGCGTCAGAGGTGCTGGGTGACAGAGCCATGAGCCAGCCATTTTATAAGCACTCTGATTTCTAAAAGTTAAAAAAATATATAAAATCTCTGTAGCCTTTAGTTATCAGTACAGATTTATTAAATTTTGGCCCTTAACCCAGCCTTTTCCAGTGTGTAACCCAGTTTGAAATCTTAAAAAAACAAAAAATGAAAAAAAAAGGAAAAAAAGAAAAAAGGAAAAAAACAGTTTGAACACAAAGGCTCTATGGAAGAAATGCCTCTATGTAGGTGAAGTGTTATCTCTGCATGCAACAGTAAAAATTAATATAATATTTTCCCCACAAAAGAAACACTTAACAGAGGCAAGTGCAATTTATAAATTTATATCTAAAGGGGAACCATGATTATAAGTCCTTCAGCCCTTGGACTCTAAATTGAGGGGATTAAAAAGAATTTAAAATAATTTTGAACGAATTTATTTTCCCCTCAGTTTTTGAGGGCATTAAAAAGGCATTAAATCAAGATAAATCATGTGCTTGAGAAAAATAAAATTAATGAAAACACAGCACTTATGTTGGTTTAGCTGCAGCCTCCTTGGAGGTAGAATTTATTTATTTAAAATTACTGGTTGCATCAAGAACCCATAGGGTGTATAAAAGGTTCTATAAAATCTGCATTCTAGAGACAAAGAGGCAGGCAAATCCATGTCACAAGGGTAAAGCTTACAGTTTACAAACTGGGAACGCCAGGGTGTAGGATATAAGAAAACGCACTCTTGAGAAAACAAATGGAATCAGGGTGCTGAAAACTTGCATGGTGCTTTCAGACATTAGCCTTGTTCAACAAATTTCTTGTATTGACAGATCCATAGTGTGCATGGGCAGACACATTTTGCCTCTATGTCTCTTAAAATTTTAATTAAAAATACTCTTTCCAGTAATCCTAATTTGCACGAAGATATAATGTCCACATTACGTGCCTTGCCTTGAAATCTAAAAAACAAAAAACACAAAAAAACAAAAAAAAAACAACAAAGTGACATCACTACACTTGTTTTGCTGCATTTATTATCATTTTAAATCTTTACCATTTTTATGACAAAATATTTTGTACTCCAGACGAAGAAAAATGTGTGACATCATGGATTTTTTAGACAGTTATACCTTTATCTCACATTTATAAAGCATATCATGGCTGTGTATAGTTGCCGCTTAAAAATTGTAATCGACCAGCAATATTTTCAGTATTTTGGTGTTTTTTTCTATTAACCTTTCATGTTTTTCATCTTCCAATTAATATTTGGGGGGGAGGGGTTTCAAATTTATACGAATTATGCAATACCAAGTTTTGCCTATGTAGGTAGTGCTTTTAGCTGTATTGGTTATTATAGGTAAGTACACAGATTTAAAAAAATAATGTATGCTTTTTTGTTTGTTTGTTTGTTTTAATTGACCAAAGTGGGTACTGCTATTTTTGCAGTGTGATGAGGTCCTTTTGTGTACTGAGAGATGGACAGGGGATTTTTTTTTTTAATATACATATATATATATTCTGGGGTGGGTGGGAGGATTTTTAACACTTTACAGTGTAGCTGTGAAGCAGTGCACCCTGAGATGGGCCTGGGCTGCAAAGCGACTGTTCTGCCTACTGTGACAAACTTCAACTTACACAGGTTCCCCTTTCTAACTTCCCACCTGGGGTGCAAGCTGAACTCATTACTGGTTTTCATAACAACACAATAGTAAGAACAAGCAAACACCACAAATTCTCCTGGAGGCAGACTTGGCTTAAAAGGCAGACTTGGCTTGGTGATAGTTTTTCTTGAAAGTTCCAGATCCACAGTGGAGAGTGAGCCTGTCTCATATTTGGCAAAAATATTTGTTGAAATGTCCACATAGGGGATGCTGGATGTTTAACGCTTTTGGGGGTCTAACACAAGAATATTCTTTCTCCTAGAAAGCACGTTAGACCTGTTGGAGGGAGTCTCCCATGTTCCTTCTCCGCCACTTTTTGTCCCCATTCCTTCATTTCATTAATGATAGGATATGATTTATCTGTGACTTACTACTTCAAATGGATGGCAGTGCACTTGGATTTTTTTTTTTTAAATATCCAGAAGATTGAACAGAGGGTTGCTATTGTTGAATGTATTTGGACTGATAGATTAAAATCAAGGTTCAATTTTTAAGGAACAAAAAAGTAAATCCTGTTTTCATTTTACCTGCTCTTTTAAAACTGAGAACCAGAACAGAATGGAAATATAGAATTTTAAGCAATTAATTTTCCTGTGGATTAATTAAACCCATTAGATGCTGATGGGATTTTTTTAAGGAATGGTACCTTAACTATATATTTGATTTCATTTCCCCTGAGGGCTAGAGGCTGAATGGAGGCTGGTTTTATTTTGCCCTTCCCTCACCCCTCAGTCCCACTGAGTGTATTCATTACTAGAAGGAAAATCTTTCAGAATTAGCGACACATGGTAGCCTGTCTTAAGGAGTCCCCTGGCCCCCTTCCCCTAGGCCATGGCCTAATAAAGTAAACTGTCAATTGTTCTCACAGCATATCATTTAATAATGAATACTTTAGAACAATGCTTATGGGCTGGAGAATTGTATTTGATTAGCCCATTCAGTTTGATAGCCCAAATACTGAACAGCACAGCGGGATCCTAGCAGTGCAAGTTCAAAAGTAAGTCCAATCATTTCCGTGATACTTGCCTTGGTAGCAAACAGATCATCTCAGCCAAGCTCTTCATGTATCTTTGACCTATTAGGTGAACAAATGAACCTCACAGGACACACAGTATTTTTTAAAGGCAGACTCGCTCTCTTTTTTGCCAGTGAATGAGCAGTTCTAGTGAACAAAGTTACACACTGTGGGTATTCCTGCCTGCCTCTTGAATACAAAGGCCTAGTTCAAGTGTTGCTTTTTATTTCAAATCAATTTTTTTTCTTCTTTCCTTTTTGAGATAAAACTATTAAAAGTACTACTATATATATAAAATCTCAAATCAACTTTTCGGCCTCCTCCTCATATACCAGGAAGTATATTCTGACGAAGGGCCCCACTTTTGCAGGTCTTGCACGCCCCTCCCTTACCCAGAACTGCAGAGCTTCAGGATGGTGAAGGTTACCCACGGGCATGGGCATGAGTAGGGGGTGGTGTCTCCAACCACCAGTTCCGTGGCACTGTCCAGCCTCTGTGCTGCTCTGCCACCCAGCACTCCCAGTGCCTCTGAAGCGTGTTTACCCTGGAGTGACGTGAGCATTTGAGGCTTGTCTAAGGAAAAAAATAAAAGGCAGTGAAGGAGACTGTACATAAAAACATGGCAAAAATCTTAATTATAGCAATATAGTTATCGGGTAATGTTCGGGTGGGCAGCTCCATTAAAAAAATATGTGAATGAATCTGTGAAGCTGCAAGTAGTGAGAAGAGCGAAAGGTCTTCTTAAT